TTCTGCTGAAAGGGTCCCACTCCTCACAAGATAATTAACAAGTCATTGGATGAAAGAGAGCATGAGCAAGTATGGTTTTTGAACCTGAAAGTCATGCTCAAGCTGTTGAACAATCTGTGCTCTTCATTACCAATGTTGAGATAAAGCACACATTAAACAGAAAGTCCTTGGATTAAGAGTTGGAATCTCGGTGTCTCTTCTGGGAGGAATCACACAGCACACCAAGAAAGGGAAGTCTGCTCCAAGAACACTCTCATTCACTGCTATATACTGTGTTGGTTCTAGGCCTTCATACTTCTTACTGCTCTCTGCTTCTCAGAAAGACTATCAGCCAAGGGCACAGTAAACTGTGAGACCAAAATTTTCAATGAAAAGGCGTTGAAACAGAATTTTCCCATCCTGTACCTAGTTTCCATTAAAATTATATTTTTCAGTGAGTAAAGGGGTCTTACTGAAAAAAAAGAACAAAAAAAAGTTGAACATTCACATTTTATGACTAATGCCTGCTTTGTTCATATTTGCTGAAAAAAAAGTGATGCCTTATTCTCTGTTCTGCAATGCAGAAAGTATTAGAAATGCTGCAGTCAAATTCACATTGGTATTAATTAGTTTTTCCAATTAAAAATGTGTAAATTCACTACTCATGCTCTTACAACTTTGCTAAATATCATGTTGATATAACATAAAGAATTACATGCAAAGACTAAATACAAGGATGTTAACAACATGAGTTTCAGAGCTAGCTATTTTGGGATGCAAGCATTCCTCTCTGGGCATTTCTGTTACGGTTGCAAACATATGCATTGCACACATGCACTGGGTTTTGGTTGGGATGGAGTTAAGTTTCTTCATAGCAGCTCCTGTGGGTTCAGTCCACAGTCTACAAATCCACATATTTGCATTTGTGACCCATATGGTGTTTGCTGATAACACAACAGCGCTTCAGTCACTGCTGAGCAGTGCTTACACAGCTTCAAGGTCTTTTCTGCTTCTCACTCCCCCCCCCCACCAGTGAGTAGTCTAGGGGTGCACGAGGAGTTGGGAGGGGACACAGGGGACAGCTGACCCCAAGTGACCCAAGGGATAGTCCACACGACAGTGCTCAGCTACAAAAGCTGGAGAGAAGAGGAAAGGGAGGGACATTAGGAGTTAGGGAATTTGTCTTCCCAAGCCACCCTGCTTTCCTGGGGATGGCTGAACACCTGCCTGCCCATGGGAAGTAGGGGATGAGTTCCTTGTTTTGTTTTACCTACTGTACTGTCTTTATCTCAGCTCACAAGTTTTCTCACTTTTACCCTCCTGACTCTCTCTCCCTCCCACAGTGGGGGGATGAGCAAGCAGCTGTGTGGGATCTCAGCTGCCTGCTGGGGCTAACCCACAACAATATATAAATATTTAAGTGAGCAGACATGTACATATATGAATTGAATACTCCAGATATTTCTAAGTTCATATTCTATTGGCATTCTAAGAAGGAAGTAGCTTTGCAGAGTCAGTGAAGGTGAACTAAATATGATTGGAAGATACCAAATTAGAGTGTAGAGGGTGGAGTGCACTGTATCAGTGTTAATTTTTTTAATATTTAATCAAAACTCTGTTGTCATCAGGCCTGACCTTTAATCCTACTATTTTGTTCAGCATTAATTTGTAAGAGGTTCTGACTGCTATGACAATGTTCTAAATAATTAAATAGTCATGGCAGTTTACAGACTCTCCACAGTTTATGCATTCACAATGCTTTACTTCCTAACCTGACTATATAAGGAGTATATTTAACAGTAAGAGCATCACAACTGACGTTGCCATGCGACAAAAGGCAAGAAAACTGGCTTGACATACAGAAAAATGGCAGAATTCTTTTATGCATATACAAACATTTTACTTCTGACATAAATTCTCTCACATTCACGGTATAAAGACTATTCCAGCAGTGTCTCCTTGTGCTGGATGCTCAAGATGAAGGAAAAAGTATCAGGTACGCTCAACCACGCCTTGCTTCCTTCATCACTTCAGTACTGAGCCCTGGAAAAGGATACAGACTTGTGGAGATCACAGAGATAACATCCCTGAAAGTACTGCCTCTTGCCAAATAAAGCTTTTTCTGCAGTCTACACACAGGGGCTCAGAATCAATAGCTGAATAGGAAAAAGGTGAGTGCTTAATGCACATTTCAGTAAAGAATACTGCAAGTTTTGCCTCAAGAAGTACCTTTTGAGACTTCTATGAGGAAATGAAGTGAGGTTTCCAAATAGTAGATGTATAAACAACCCCTAAGAAAATTACAGCAACTGTCAGCGTTCGTGACTCTAACCTTAAACTACAGGTGAAATCTTGATGCAATTTTAAACACCTTCGTAGTCACTGAATTGACATATTTATCCTTTGGTCTGTGACCAGATCCACAAATACTCTTGTGGAAAATTGAAGTGCTAAGATCCATGCAGCTAAAATATTAATATCCTAAAGACAGCTAAGCTTTTAAGTTCAGTTTGTTCTTCATTTGGGTGTGGTTTACAGAAAAGACCAGCCAATGAATCACCCAATTTAAATGAAAATCAGATTACTTTTGGTAAAAGCTTGGGACACGCTCTAAGGATGGCCTTATGCTTCCAAAATATAATATGATAAAGTCCAGACACAATTGGGTTTTTGCTGTCCTCTGGGCTGATGTGATTACCATACAAAAAGACCTCCTATTCCCACTGACAATAGAAGCTGTTAGTCAGTAAATCCTCAAAGACAAAGGTCCACAGAGGGCCCAAAAAAGTAGAAGTCCACAGAAGTTGAAGGAGGGGGTGGGGGCAGTGGGGAAGAGACAGAATGAGAACTTCCAGTTTTGAACTGGGAACTATTTTAACAGACAGTGAATAGTTACAGACACCTATAATTTAATTCTCATTTTAGAAGAGGAAAATGGCATTGTTTGTGCTGAGTAATAAATCTTTTACTTTTTGCTGTGTACTTTAATTAGGAAGGATCATTCCTGAAGCATAATAAATGATCAGAGCAGGATAGATTCTGCAACGGGTTTATGCCAATAATCCAGTCAGCATTAAGACTAAGATTAATTAGATTAGATCCAAACATAGGTTATTCTAGTCATTCCGGGCTGAATCTGAAGAGGGACTTCTGAAAGGAAGAAGACAAATGCATGAGAGGAAAGTCCTGCTTATCAAACCTGGGTAACCCAACTAGTTGATCAAGGGAAGCCAGTTGATGGAATCTTTTTGGATTTCAGTAAAGCTTTCGGGATCCTTCTGGACAAAATGTCCAGCTCACAGCTGGATAAGCACATCAGGTGGTGGGGGAGCAGTTGGCTCACAGGTCGAGCACAGAGGGTAACAGTGACTGGGGCAACATCAGACTGGTGACCTGGCACTAGTGGGGTTCTGCAGGGCTCCATCTCAGGCCCTGAGCTCCTCAACATCCTCATGAATGACTTGGGCGCAGGATTGGAAGGACACTGAGCAAGTTTGCACATGACACGGAACTGGGAGGAGCTGTTGACTCCCTGGCAGGCAGAGAGGCCCTCAGAGAGACCTGGACAAATGAGAGGGCTGGGCAACCAGCAAATGTGTGAAGTTCAACAAGGGAAAGTGCTGGATTCTGCACCTGAGATGGGGCAACCCTGGATGCATGGACAGACTGGGGAATGAGATGTTGGAGAGCAGTGCTGGAAAGGGACCTGGGGGTCCTGGTCAAAGGCAAGTTGAAGATGAGCCAGCAGTGCCCTGGCAGCCAGGGGGGGCAGCTGTGTCCTGGGGGGCATCAGGCAAAGAATCACCAGTGGGGCGAGGGAGGGGATTGTCCGGCTCTGCTCTGACCTGGCCTTGAGGGGAAGCCGTGTGAGGAGGGGCAGACATTGATCTCTGTGGTGACCAGTGACAGGACCCTGAAGTTGTGTCAGGGGAGGTTTAGGTTGGATATCAGGAAAAGGTTCTTCCCCCAGAGGGTGGTTGGGCACTGAACAGGCTCCCCAGGGCAGTGGTTACAGCACCAAGCCTGACAGAGTTCAAGAAGTGTTTGGATTATACTCTCAGGCACAAGGTGCAACTCTTGGGGGTGGTCCTGTGCAGGGCCAGGGGTTGGACTCCATGATCCTTGTGGGTCCCTTCCAGCTTGGCATATTCTGTGATTCTGTAAGGTCTGGATATCTAGCCCAGCTAGATGCCATTATGATATTTTTAACCACTTTTTGTTTGATTTTATTCAGAACCAGAAGTACAGAACAGTGAACAATTGGTTGTGCTCCAGACCATTAGACAATGAATGCATATGCCCATGAACTACCAGGGGCTGAACATGCCCAAGTCTCCCAAGCATTCCCATTTTTGTCACCCAGTGCATATGCTCACATCATGTAACACAGAGTTGTAAAGAGCCCCACTGAGATCAAGATTCTGTCTGCTTCTGATCCTCGACTAAGGCACTCCTCTCTTAAAAAACTTAAAAAATGTTTTGATCCCACTCAGAAATTACTTTTTGTATGAATGAATTCCCAGTTGCTAACTGTGGTCTACTGAGAATTTCCTGACTCTGGCCCCAAACCTCAATTATCCCTCTAAACTTTACCATACTATTTGCCTGTCCACAACAGTACTTCACTAAATCCTTCTTCTGTCCCTGCTTGGTGTACAAGACATTGCACACAGTCAGGGTGTACACTTTACCCAAAATGCTTGGGCACTGAACCCAGGAAGTCTGAAAGAGTTGGGTACACTGAAGACCAGAACCACAGCTATAATCAGCAGAAGGCCCCTGCACAAGATGTAGGCCAGTTGTCAGTTACCTGACTACTCAGAAAACAAATCCCTTAACACCTTAAGGAAGAAAACAGATCAGTCTTGGAAAAATGTTTAACTGTTTTATAATTTTCAGTTAAAGCAGCCACTCATTCACCAAACTTAAAACACGGGTGCCCAAACAGACTGAGTAAATTTTACATAGATTTACTCACACATGGCATGTACTAGAATATTTGCAGCCAAAGCAATGTTTACCTCTTCTCTCTTTTTTTGAACCCATTCCTTGTGTTTCTCTTCAGCTATCCTTTTCCTCCTTTCACGTTCTTGCTTTTGCTTCATCTTCTCAAGCTGTATATTCATTTCCTAATTAAAGAAAAAGTATACCTCTTAAGTCTGTGGTGACCATCTACACCAACACTGGAAATAGTGTTGCAGTTTAAACAATGTAAGCATTAGATTTTGGTGTTTTTCCTTCATTAAGACTTTGGAAAAGACAGACGACAGTCAACACAGAAATATTATGAAATACATTCAGTGGAAATGTATAATTTTTAGAGTATTAACTGGAAATACATATTTTAATTAGGCTTTGGAAGCAAATCAATGGAACAAATCACTCCTCAGCTTATTGAAACGCCTTTTCAGTCAGCAGAATCTTAATCTGCAGCAGTACTTTTCTACAATACTTAAAATTTACATTGTGTAATGCTCTGCACTGTGGATGGAATCAAAAGCTAAGTGAAATATTACTCACTGGTGAGTTTTAGTACCAGAGCTACAGGAACCTAGGCTTAACCCAAAGCTCATTAAAACCAAAATTATTGCAGATTTTAGCAAACTTTGAAACAGGAGCTTTATTTTGAAGATGAGAGAAGAAATTCCCAAGTATCTTTATATGACATACAGTGTATATGTAATCACTTATGTATCCCCAGTGAAGTTAACCAATAAAGGAAAAACATGACTAAGAATACAGTTTGAGAAGTCTGGCTTCTCCAACAGGAGCATTAGCACAAAGTGCTCTTTTTCAATGAAAATTCATACCTTCAAACATAGACAGATGGAATCATTTCCACAAAACTGACTTTATGGTTCCTACACTGCAGCCAGTCTCAGAGAGAACCCTTTTATCTTATGAATTGAATTCAGTTTAGCAGGACATAAAGAGGAGCCTACAGAAAGCTCAAATACCCACAACAGATAGTGTGAAAATACAGTTGTTGCTGTATTGAGGCAGAGTTACAGCAAGTACCACTCCTTTGAGTTCTGAGACATCTGTGTTGCAGGGATCCTGGTCTGTAAAAGCTGATGGCATCATAATTACTTTAGAAGACCCAATCCACTATCCTCTCCAAATGTTTATCTACATTTTTGACAATCAGGACAGACTTCTTGCTGCTGCCAGCAAAAGATCTGGGACTTCACAGTTGTTTCTTATGATATCAGTTTAGAGTACTTTTTATATGCAGGTGTAGTAATAAATTTTTATATCACTATCATATACTTCATTGTCTTCTGGCATCTTACAAAAATGCTGATTGTATTTTTTCCCCCAAATATAAGCTTTTTGTGCTGCCTATGTTGCAGTTTAATACCTAATGTTTTCAAAATCTTACAAATTAAAAATAAAACTCTTACCTATACAGCCATTTTCTACATGGCTTTAAGTAATGTTTGTCCCATAACTCCTCTTAATACATAGTTGAGAGACATCTGCTAGATTACATTTAGTATGGTGTAAATGTTATTGTGTGATACTCAAGAATAAATTGTTTTGGTTCCTCATCAAGACCACATGAGAGATCCACACACAAACCACATTTTCTACATAATGCCTAAAATTGCTTTGGCTCGTTTTTTGTACTTAAAAATCAAAATAGGGAAAGACAATTACCAAATTAGAATATAAAGGGGAAGTCAGGAAACATTGGGTGGATATTAACGGATCAGAACATATTCCTCAAGCTTAAGGAACTACTTTGGTGTTCTGCTGACCTCTAAAAGACTGTTCCAGAACCTTCCATCAGTAGGTGTTTTATAAATAACATGAGGTAGCCCACATAAAACAGTTGTATGCTATATGCACTTTTACAGATAATCACAGAAAAGCTAGGGCACTGTTCAAGGTCAAACAGTAAATCAGTAACTAAAGTGAGAAATTATCTAACTTTGATGTGATTGTTCTAATCACTACCCAATACTTCTAGTTTGATTTTCAACACCAGTATCATTTAATCAACTGCAACTACAAACATATTAATCAAGAAAAGATATAGTGCTCTCACTTAATTGTGCCCCAGCCCCGGTATTCAAGAACTGTTCATTGGCAAGGGGGTAAAAGACAGAATGAGGGGGAAAAAATGCTGTAACAGGGAACCCTATCCTGGGAAGGGACACCAAACAGCTGTAAAATTACACGCTAAGTGTGTAACAATACTGTGCCTCAAATCTAACCAAGGAGCTTGGCACACTTACAGCCAGCACACACCCTGCTGTGTTTTACTACCACCGTGCAGGTGTATGTACCCGAGATGAAAATCGAGGTACCAATTATATAACTATGTTTTAATCTTTTAAACTTGAACCATTACCTGACAGTTGGATAAGCAAAATATTATACAGCACCACTTCAACGAAGCATAACATTTAGCAAAAGGGAATGCACATAGCACGAATCATGCCAGCACTGTCACACACAAACTTAATGCAGACCTAAGACGTTAAAAAAAGTGGACAACACTACTCATGTTTCCACAAAGGAAAAAAAAATCCTGGTGTTCCCTGTCTTCTATTAGATTTAACATCAAGCCAATCGGATGTATTCACCTCTTCAGCTCTAGCCTGGAAGCGGGCACGCAGTTCCTTCTCTTTGCCAATGAACCACTCTTCCCATGGCGAAAGATTGTCTTTCAAAGGTGACTCTTTTGTCCCTCCTACTATTTCAGAGTCTTCAGCCTTCCTGAATTAAAAATGAGAAACGTAAGGGAATATTACCTGTAATGTATTGGATTGAAAGGTTAAGCAGTGCTACTGTCTTGAAAACTTACTTTTATGGCATAATGTGACAACAATGACATCATGTTTCTACTTGCTCAGTAACCTCCTTAACTGATAAATGGCATTTATAGTGCACCTCTGACCATCCCCCTTATATTCTACATTCTACTCGTTAAATTGTAGCTTGTTAGTGATTTCCCCACCCCTGGCAAACCCCCATCCTTCCCCCTCTCCAAACTGTGGAACAGATCTAACTGTTACCTTTTAGAACCCAAACAAAAAGAACACCAGTAACATCAGTGTCACCTTCCTTCTCACACATGGAAAACAAGGAAAAACAGATTAAAATTAACATCCTGTCCTTGCCCACAGAGAGGCCTCATGTATCAAGTGGCCTTTAGCACAAGCAAAGAAAGAGCAAGAATATTCCTTCTTCTTTCAAGTACCATCAAAGTGGATTCATGATATCAAGCCACCTCAGCATTATGAATCCGTTCACTCGAAGAGGTAAAGTTTTCCACCTTAAAAAGCTTTCACAGGAAACATGCTTAAGAACTGCAGAAAGCATACAACACTTGATGGTATTATACAAGGTTCTATTAGACTTTTAAGAGAATACCTTACATAACTCACTTATAACTTCTTTACTCATGAATAATGCAGCAGTCCTAGCCTCAGGTCAGAAATGTCTTTTATAACATTCTATACACATACTATTTCTTAACTAAGACAGTATATTAGGCTCTAAGTCAACAAAAATTGAAAACATGCCGAAAGATTTCTTTAAAAGATTTCTTCTATCTGACATAGAATTTCTTCTTAATAACAAACAGTGAAACAAGACTCCACTTTAGTATTTTACAGGGATGTATGGGCTCTGGAAATACCTACCTATATATTTACTTCACAACAGTGAAGTGTTTGCTGAATTTAAGCTACAAAAGTAGGATCCATTATGCTAATGGCCCCAGACATGAATATTTTAAACATAATATATCTGGGTTTTATCAATATGAAAGTGTAACATATTCACGGGAAACAGCAATACTCCAACACTATGTTGCAAAACATTTTCTGTCCCAGTCATCTTTAGAATATATTTCTGTGACAGGAAACATTTGGGGGCGATGTCAATGCAAAGGAGTTTTGTCCTACTCTTCTCTGTTGTTTTACCCAGGTGTGTTTGTGCTAACACGACTGTTCGCTGCTCAGGTCGTGACATGTTCGGGGGAACTGATTCACGCTGAAACTCACCTGGAAAAGGTTTGTTCCTCCTCACATCAGCCCCCAGCCCTCTCTCACACTGTGCTGCCACAGACATGTAGCATAACAGAACTGACAGGGACACCCTGACACACAGACAGTGCAAGCACAGAGGCAGCACAGGCCAAACACTCCCAAGCCTGGCGTTGTCCAACGCATTCTGCTGCAGCGTTACCAAAGACCAAAAATTTAACACGTACAGATAATAAGGGATGCAACTTAAGAATGCATAATAACACATTTTGTTAGACAATAACTCTCTGGAAGTTTATTAAATACAAGGATAAAAGTATTATGCATTCGCATGCAGGAAAAAGCCCACAACTTTGTACAGACTTGACATTTTGGGCAGGGATACTTCTTCAACGCATTCTTCTGCTTTGCGTGATTTGCATTATGGCACCCAGTACTAGAACAAGGCTGACACATTAAAGCAACCTTACAAAAAGTACTAGGAGAAGGAACAAATTAAGAAAAATAACATTTGCTATGTGTTTTCTTGTATCAGTAATTATGAAGTTCAAGCTGTCAACTTCTCAAAAAAATGATTCACAGTAATAGATTAAAGATTTATTGTAGACACATAAGCATGAAGCTTCAACAGAGGAAAATACACTCAATATGAAGACATCAGTATGAATTTAGGAGAAACACCTCCCCAGTACTGTGTCTCAAGCTCTCAGACTGCACCAGAAGGCAGACATATTTGGCATTAGAAGTGAAGTCTGATTAACAGAAAACACCGTGATTAGCATTTGCCATATATTCACTTACGTCACACCATCAAACACAACACCACTGGTCCATAATGAAAGTATGAAAATGCCTAACACCGTTTCACAAGGCCTTGTTTACATCCTTTCTCTTCTGCAAACATTGCATTTCCCACATTGGATGTCTGCCTCCAGCTAATTTTTGTGTAGTTTTAAGAGGACAACAACAACAAAAAGATTCAGAGTATGTGCATACGTAGAGAGGGCAGTGGCTATGTAAGAAGTGCTCTTTATTATTATACTTTTGAGATCCTGGCACCTGTACCCGGAATCTGCTCTGTGAACATTTGGTAGGCACTTAGTACAACACAGTTACTCAGAAGCGGTGTCTGCCAGAGTGAAGTATACACTGTGCCCACAGTTTAACGAGGCTCTGCTAACTCAGGGCCTAAGAGAGGTCGTCTTCAATTGCACCTTAGTGCTGCCAGAGGATACTGCAGCAACAGGCCCCAAAACTGAAAGCTGTTTCGAAGAGCATCTCAAGCTGTAAGGACATGCTGTAACTTGAACAAAGTGCTACTGAACTTCAAGGTATGTTAACAAATTCCTTCTTGGGAAGAAGTAAATGGTGAGGTAACAGAAAAGCTGGAAGAGAAGGGACCATAAACTGGCTACTATCTTTTTCATTCTGAAGCTTCTGACTACGCTTCAACATGCTTTTCCTGAACTCCCAGTGCTTTTTTCAAGAAGTGCTTGTAAGCAAAGTTCAGTGTGGTTCATATTCCTCCACTGCTCTCCTTGGAGGTGTGAGAACCAGGCTGGAATCCTGAACCCTTGTCCCACCTGCACTTTTAGCTCAGTTCAGCCTTACTAAATTACATTCACCACCAGTTAATGCACAAGTTAGTTAAGTTTCCATGGCAAAGGCTGTACTACAGAATAAGACAGGCACTGCCTGCTCTTCCTCCTTCTGTTTTAAAGGGAAGAATAAGAATTATTTATTCTCCTGTCAAGCTGGTGAGATCCCAAATAAAAAGAAGATATGCTAGGCTTGCATATTATTCAAAAGGAATAAAATTAAACCACAGGAGAAGGCACTGTGCAATGCATACAGGCAACACTGACTCTGGACGCAGCTGCATACGCTAGGCAGAGAGGAGCCCTTTGGTCTCCAGGAGCTTTTAAAAGGATGACAGGAAAGGCTGCAGCTTTTCATCTGGCAAAGACAAGCAACTGCTTGCAGACAGTTTACAAACCCCTAAAAAATACTCAGCTGCCCCCCAAGAAGAGACTTCCCAAGGAAAAAAACACCAACAACCAAAACCAAACCAAACAAACAAAAACGGAACAAAGCGCTTAAAGCGCTTATCTATGCAACCAATTCTATATTTATGTAAAATAATCCTCTGTCCCCAGGGTCTCCAGCGGAGGGCCCGGCTGGTCGCGCACGGGCAGCGCTGAGCTCGCTGCCGGAGCCCGGTCCCAGCCGCAGGGTTACCTATGGCCCGGCGGGCTCCGGGCGGCCGCCGCCCCTTCCTCCTCCTGCCCCTCCTCCTCCTCCTCCTCCTCACCGCTCGGGCAGCTGGAGCGGGACGCGGGGAACAGCGAGGAGCCGCCAGAGGGACTGGGGGGCTCCTCGCCCCCGGAGCCGGGGGAGCACGGCGGGCCGAGGGCAGTGTCGCCGCCGCTCATGGCGGGGCGGCCCCTGCGGGAGCGCCCGGCGGTTACCGGCGGGCCCGGCGCTCCCGGCGGCACCCGCGGCCCCGCCGCCCCCATAGCCCCGGCAACCGGGACGCGCATCCCCGCCCGGCCCGGCCCCGCCTCAGTGCCCGGGCCCGCCTCAGTGCCCCGCCCCGCCTCAGTGCCCCGCCCGGCCTAAGCGGCCCTCCGGCCCCGGGCATGTGCAGCGCGGTGGCTGAGGCGCGATCTGTTCTGCGGGAACTCTTCACAGTTGTCCTTTTCTTAGTGATGTTTTCGCGCGTGTACCAGTTCACTAAACGGGAACCAGCCGCCTCACCTGCAGGTGACAACAGCAGTGGATCAGGAGGAGGCAGAGTAACGTTTGCTAACGGCCCAGTCGGAGTTTGTAGCCCGCACTTGTATTGAATCGCAAAAATCCCCTTTCGGTCGCCACCGTTGTTCTCGTTTCCGATTTAAAATTCTAAAGACTTTTGGTTTTCATACATCTCTGCTGGGCAAATGGCGTCCTTTCCCTTCTCTCCTCTCACTTAATTCTCCAATGAGCAACAATTATCTGTTATAAATAGATCAGATTTTATATATATATATATATATATATTCCTATCCTTGTTTACCAGTAGATTTTTTTGTCAGTATTCCAGTGTGGTTCCAAATCCCAGGTACACAGTCCCTTCTTCATTGCTGATGCTGGGCCACCTTGACCCAGGATCAGCAACAAACACGTATCACCAAAGCTTTTCACTGCCTTCAAATTTCATCCATCAAGGAAATAACTGCTGACTAGCACTGGGCAAATTTTTATAAAACTTCATTGACTCATTTTGCTGTGGCTGACTAAGCAGAAGCGTTACTGATATTAACATGAGATACAGAAGTTTGAAGGTGATTCTCCAGGTGTATGAGTTTAGCAAGAAATATATTTTTAGTTGGATAAAGGTTGAATGTAAAAAATGCCCAAATGGTCATAATTTGGAAATTTTAAGATGGGTTGTTTGGTTCTTGGGCTGCAGAGCCACACGCACCCCAGTCTATAATTTCTCAGCCAGAGGAGCTGCATCTCTCCTGTCTCTCAGGAGCACATACTTCTCCCTCCCTCTTGCTCACCAGACCCTTCACTGACCCACAAAACCTTACTAATGTAGTAGAAAACTCTTTGGCCAAGCAAACTCTTTCGTCTGAGCAAGTTAAAGCTCAGGGATAAGTCTGTCATCTGCTGAGGCCAAAACCAGGCAAGCTCCAGGGATGCAGAGCCACAAACTGGAAGGGAGAGGCAGAGGTGACTTTCCCCTTTCAGTGGTAGAGCTTCTTCATTTGTCTTACCATCTTGTGGGAACTGCAGTTTTGGCAGGTTGGAGAAATATCCTTATGGTTCCTGAAAGAAAAAAACCTAAATATTATCCCATCACTGATCACATGTGCTGATAACCAGTTGATCATCTGGAATGGTTTTCCAGCAAACTGAAGAAAACCCACAAAAAAGGCCTGAATGCATCTCTGATCTAAGCATCCCCAGAATACTGACGACACCACTATGCAGCAAATCGATGCTGATGACGCTGAAATAACTCCAGTCACTTGCAGTAGATTATTTGATGATAATCAGGCTCAACAAAGAAGCAAGTGTGACTAGCCACGGTGTCTAACAAATGAATTACACCCATTAAAATAATTTAAAATCATTAAAATAAATAACAAATAAAATAATTTAAGCTGATGACTTAAGTATTGGAGACAACAGAATATCACTAGAACCTAAGTTTCATGCCAATTAAAGTTACAAGAAGACGACAATTTCAAATTGGATTGAATTCTTAGATCACAAGTTACACAGTCCAGTGCCTTAGCTTTGTAAAACACTAGCCACCTATGGTTTTACAAGAAGTTTTGTGTATGTGCCACATGCAGCTAAAAAATAAAAGTAGTATAAAAGTTGCTTACTCCATGGCTACACAAGCACTGCTAGCAAAGCTCCATTTCCTCCAAGCAGGAAAATTTCAAGTATTTCAACAGGTTGCAGATCAAGGTAATTTCAGAACATCTTAGGAAGGCTTTAAAATCTCCCCGATCTTAAAGCCTGTCTCATAGTGAAGACTAATAACAGTTTAAATGAATAGAAAAAATGTTGCTCTGTCTTGTGTCACTAAATTGAGGAATTCTGGAGCTCACTGCACTGGGCATCTCTCATTTCTGATGGAGGCCCACATCACATCATCTGGGATGGCCAGAAACTATGAAATGGGTGTCTCACAGCAAGGCAGCAGCAATCTTGCCAAAGACACAAACATTTGAGTCTGTCTCTTCCTTCCATATACTGTAATACAGATTAAGAGAATTTCTTAGGGTTCAGGAGCAGATATTGGGCAAATAGTTTTTATTAACAAAGTTTAGCATTGTGACAAGCTACCAGTGTCGGGCAAGACTGCCCATAGAGAAGGTGGTAAAAGCCAGTTCACCTTATGGGGAATCAAAGCATTGCTACTGGAATGGCAGAAGCATCCAACTTTTAAGAGATGTGAAAGTATAAAATAACATTGTTATTATCCCTCTTACCGTTCTGCCCAACTTGTCAAGCCACCTCCACAGCCACTGTGTCCTAGTTAACACAGGCAAGGTAAGAGCCCAAACAATGTAATTTAATAAAATACTAAGGATTGAAACAACAATCCTGCAGGTTCAGGTACACAACTCCTATGGCCATAGCAGGACTTACAAAGCAGGCAAATGGCATGTTACAAGGACAGTGCTTCATGGCAAATCCTTAATTCTGTGAACTGAGTGCCAGAAAGCATCTGCCCTGGCAAGAATTAAGTGCCAACAGTGCTAAAGCCCACAGGCAAAATCAGACTGCCACAGTGAAGCACAGAAGTTGCTGCAAACAACTGAGTGTAGTGAATAAATATATACACGCATCCCTAGGGTTGATGCCAGCGTGCAAAATCATCCTAATTTTTCACTAAAGAAACTACGGTTCAGTCTTTCAGTGCTAACTGAACCAACACCGCCACAGACTACTGAATAAGCATTTGGAGTTATCTAGCAACAGGGAGTAAAATTCAGAGTAAACACAGCATGATGTATTCACAGACCTATACCTTCTACCTGTTTGGTCATGCCAATCAATGTGTCTGAACATCCCGATGCTCCTGGCAAATTTCTCACAAGTACTCCCTAACTGCCATCCACAATATTTGAGAAAACCCTTTATGCAGAAAATATCAAGAAAGAAATTTGACAGGTAAAAGACATAGAAATGAATTAAACTCTAGGCACAAATCAACTAGTCTGAATCACTAAGTACCTTGAATTGCCAACTCCTCTTTATGAAATACTTCAATTTTAGAAATTCAACTGTAATATGATAAACAATCTCTGAAAACACAAAAGTCAGCAGAAGGAAACTTCTGAGTTCAACTTGATGAATACTACCCAGATTTAATGAAAACAATCAGATCAGATGTAATGTCTAGTTCCACACTTGTATTCAGGAACATAGAAACATAAAAATAATCCTATAGGAAAAAAATTACTAAATTTAGACAGAAACAGAGGCTTAGACAACATGCCTTAAGCTTGAAGAATATAGATCTTAATTTTACTTGTGACATTAAAAAGAGTAGAAAATTTGAACCAAATATAGATGAATTTAAGAAGTTTCCCAAGTCCTCCGATTTTCCACTGCGATAAAAAATAGTGTGGCAGGCACGGGAGTGAGGGAGAAACTTGGCTCACACGCCATGTCAGAGCTGAACAAGCACTGCCTATACTTGTCTACTGGCTATTTTTGTGCCTGAATGTGTAGTTCTGCTTGATTAGAGGCTGTGAAACCTGAGAGGTCCTGGATTGCTTCACTTCCCTTGGCAGTACGGTGTATTCCCATGGCTGCAGTACACTGCACGCACCACTAGTCCCAGCCCAGGTTCTGCTGACTGCAGATGTGGAGCCATCTCTTCCAAGGAGCAGGGCCTTCAGCTGAGAATTTTTCTCTTGTTATTTTAAAATCACACCTTTTTCAATAACTGGCAGGATTCCCACTCAACCCAGCTTTTTTTTTGTGAGTTGGAGATCACAGCCCTCCTGCTTTTGAACAGCCTTCACTTCTTTAGTTAGTTTATTCTTCTGCCTAAAGTCTTTCTTTTAAAGCATCAGATAGTAACACATTTACTTGCTCATTTTTGGGCTGAAATTTTCAAGACACAGGTTATGCTTTTGTTACTGGAAACCAGTGAGACCACTTCATATTTTGTTACCCTCAAATCAAAATAATTTCCCTACAGCAAACGCCACAGTGACCACTAACTAGTATTCCTAAAGTAAAATCTAAATAATTATATTTTGTATTACTGTAGTGCCATGAAACATAACATATGAGTCCATTCACCCTCCAAGTTCTTAGAGTACACAACAGTACAGAAAACAGCAATTTGTGATGTATTATATCATTTCAGATTTCATTTCCTTATTTATTGAATCATCTTCAACTGACATCTAGTGCTAAATCAGTCAGACTCTACAGTACAATATGTGAAAGGTAATATTAAAAGTCTCCTGCTAAAAAATAAACTTATGCTACCAGTAAAAGATCAAAAACATTTATGAAATTAAAAATTATTGAGAGTACATATGAAACAAACTCTGCATTGAGCTTTTAATTAAAAACATTACCCTGTAAACTAAAGCTGAAGGCTTAAAAATAGTAGTCAAAGTGAAAAGAATTACTGAGGTATCTTTGTGGAAGTTTGAAATTTCTGAGTAAATTTATGAATAAACACAGGAAATCCCACTGGAAAGAAATGAAAAGAGGCAAAAGGACTCTAGACAAAAAAGTTGCAAAGCAGATGCATAATTTTTGTAAGAGAATGAAAATGCTCAGTTTCCCCACCATACTGCCACAGAGCAGGCTAACAGCCATAAGTAAGAAATTACTCAATGGGGGAAAGGTTGGGAATACCTTTGGCAATACTGTTTGTGACTCTGTCTCCCTGCAAAAAGCTGCTTCCTCACAATGGCAGATG